TTATAGATTATATAAAAAAAAAAGAAAAGAGAAATATATATATATATATATATATATAATTTCATATGATTTATCCATGTGCGGCGCCCTAGCAAAAAAAAATGGATGTCATCCTTAAGTAATTTCGACATTCCGGACGCTCCGGCGCAGTTCATTTCGCCGTCAGAGGTCGCTTTGATGAACTCACCGATTTGCGTGTCAATTTTTTCGTGCAAAAAATATGGCAATATGGGTGTCATTTCCTACTAAAATTGGTATCTCGGACGCGTTGGCGCAGTCCATTTTGTCGTCGGAGGTCATCCGGAGAAGTTCGCATTTTCACTCGTCCTTTAGGCTTAATTGAAGTCCGATTTCGTGCAATTCATTGAATTATGTGCATTTTGTGTGTGTATGTGACGAAAAAGTCATGACGAATGTTTTCCTAAGGCTTTGGGCCCTGTTGGGATCTTTTCCCCTGAGTCTTCACAAAATAGCCCATAGCCGCTCTTTCGTAAGACGATGGTCTTGTGCCATAAATGCAGGACATCAAAGAAAAATAGGAAGTGGTTAGAATTTCTAAAAGGGTGAGTCTCAATTCTAGTTTTCTAGGACGGTCAATAGGAACTCCTAGAGCTAGATCCTAGGCTCCTAAGGAGGAGAAGAGAAGACCTCACAAAAATGAGGTCAACAATGCCCCTATATATATGGCCAAGCAACAAAGTTTTTCCTCCAACTAAAACTCCTTAGATTTATTGAAAGGGGAGGTAGGATTGTAAGAACTACCAAATAATCTTTCGTCTCGTGGAAAAGGCAAATAGAATCATCAGCTGCTCCAGTAGCAATAATACCATCCCTGCAATAAATAAAAAGAATATAATAATGAGAATCCAATAATCAAATTTTAAATAAATTAGTCACATTGTAAATTGTGTAAAATGTGCACAAGGTAAGCAAATGATTTCAATTAATGATAGCATAATGACATGTCCCGAACATATAGCAGTACTAAGAAGGCACCTAGCGCCCATATCCCGTCTGCCAGATTCATTCTCTCTGTAGATTCAAAAACTCTTAAAAAAAGGGGGAAATTTACATAACAGGCACACATTTCTTAAGTATATTTACATATCCTATGCATGATTAAGTGTATTTCACTTCAAAAAAGTGACAATAATACTATTTTTTATGTGATATTAAGGATTTGAGTGCTATATGTGTAAATATAAAAGTTTACGTGTGAGATAAGTAAATACATTAGAACTGTGTGCAAATGTATGTAAATGCCCCAAACAAAACAAAACAAAAAAAGTTTACTGCTATTTCCAGCAGTTAATCAAAGAAAAATTATATGTGAAATTTACAGATATCCCACTTAATTCATATGTATGTATACATATCTAACACCTAAATTTCGTTTTTTATACATGTACACCACCTAAATCTTTCAAATCGCATAAAAAATACCACTGTTTTAACTTTTAAAACGTGAATACACCAATTCGTGCTAGGTAAGGTGGTACGAATAAAAAAACTGAAGTTTAGAAGTTAAATATGTAAACACATAGGAATTAAGTTGTATGCATGAAAATTTTTCAATATTTATTTTAATTTTTGATTTGAATTACATATCAAAACTGGCAGGATCTAATTAGCCAGAAAACTTTCATAAGATGGAGGACGACAGTTTGAAAGAGCACACCGTAAATATAGAGGAAGCAAAACTCCTATAATATACATGATCATTTTATGAAAATTTAAGAATAAAATTTCATGTTATACATTGATACATGGAACTTTACTGAAGAACTTTACTGAAAATCTAAGGGAGAAGAGAGCGACCCTCAGCACCTCCCTGATTCCACCACAGGTTAAAGGCAAAAATGTAGGCTACTAAAAAAGAGAATCCTTCTATTAAATTCATAAGAGCTCATGAATCATACACATAATTAAAAGTAGGAAGATTTGCAAGCATACCACTCAATTCCAACGTATTGACATAAACTTCTATATTCTTTTACATTCATACCACCATAACAATGCATGAAAAGGTCTATTTCACTTTTTAAAAATTAAAATGGTGGTATTTTTTATGTGATAGGAAATATTTGCGTAGTATAAATGTAAAAAGTAAAATTTAGATGTTCGATATGTAAATACATAGGAATTGGGTGGTATGCATGCAAACGCCCTTAAAAAAAAATAAAAAGAGAAACAATTAAAAGACAGCAAGAGCCAAGAAGAAGCACATAGAGGTTAGTACTCACATTAGAGGGCAAATCCATTAGCTACAAACTAATAAAATTCTTAGAACCACAATTACAAGAAAGGAAGTGTCCTTGCTTCAAGTTTTAGTGCACCTTCAGAACTTCATTCATACAACATATCCTAATTTATAATGAAGTCAATTAATTCTAAAGCTTATATTCATCAAATATCAAGCAAAAGGGAATGGTCATTATGAAAGGTTTAAATTCTGAATTGGTCCTCACTATTTGTATATGACCAATTTAGTCCTAGAGTATCACATTTCTCCAATTTCGTGTCTCAACTATACATAATTGACCCAAAGATCCCACATATACAAATTAGTATACAAAATTAATACTACTTTAGTCCATCAATTAAACAAAATTGATCCTATTTTAGTCCCTGGATGACCACTTTGGATCAATTTTATTCAGCTAAGGAATAAAGTTAGAGAAATGTTATACTCTAGAACTAAATTAGTCACATATAAATAGTTGGATAGCCATTTGAGCTTAACTTTTATTATAAATGACAGGATAAAATTTACCTTGACCAATTAACTGAAAATACTGTCCGATCATGATATCCTGAAAGAGTACAGAGGTGAAACCTGAAAAAATTCAATAGTAAATGTTAATAAGAAAAGATTTAGGCGCAATTAGTAGTCGCTTAAACATGACCGGCAATGTTGAATTGAAACAATTTTAGAACAATCAAGATGAACATTCTCCATAAACAAACCAAATTAAACACTAAAATAACAATTGTCGATGTCCTACTAAATCATTTCGCATATCAAATGGTCACAATAAATTTTTCGTTAAGGCCTTTTGTTGGATGCAAATATGGATATGGATGACAACAGAGATTAAAAGATTAAAAAAAAAAAATCAAGAGTGTGAAGCTTTAAAATTTCATTATAGGGGCATTTACATACATAACACCCAATTCCGATGTATTTACATATCTAACATCTAGACTTTATATTTACATTTATACCACACAAATATTTCATATCACATCAAAATATAACTATTTTAACTTCTAAAAAGCGAAATACAAGTTTTAATGTATACGAAGGTGGGATATATGTAAAAATTGAAGTTGAGGTGTTAGACATGCAAATCCGTAGAAACTGAGTGGTATGAATGTCAATCTTTATTATATTGGTGGAAACTATAAGATTTACGCAAATGATTGGATGTCACAGGCTCACCCTCTAACCCCTTATGCATAAGCTTGGGTTGAGGCACAATACAAAAAATAAGTTTTGATTAGGAAATACAAGTAAAATTACATAGCACGGTTTAACAAGTGATTATTGTAAAATGGGCATAGCTAACTTGTATTTTTTTTTTATTATATAGTGTATAAATGTTGATTTCTAAACAAGGGTTGAATTCATGTGCTAAAATGAACATAAGTTTGCTAGTTTAGGGTATGTTTGGGCCAACTGCAGCTTAGTAAAAAATAGTTGAAAATCTGTGGAATAATAATTTGATGCTCAAAAGCTACGGCGGCTATTACACTTTTTTTTTTTAATAGTACTAAACCAGGAGTGGTGGGAAAACGCAGATTTTAACGACAACACTTTGAAAAAACTGTCAAAACGCAGTTTATCCAAACAAACAAAAATGCGGTACGATGCCGCCCCAAACGGACTCTTAGTGGTGTAAGTGGGCACTTCATATTGTTTAGGAAATGACACATCATTATTTAACAAAAATCACTGTCATATTTAAGCGCCATATGATTTTTTTAAGGAATAAAAAACATTGAGGCCATCACATCAATATTTTTTAAATTCAGATATGGTTAGACCATCCATGAGATCAACTATTTTCAAATAATTGTCATTAAAATTAAAATGTATTTTGAAAGCCATCTATACATGTAAGTTTTTCAAAGGCATTTTAAATAGATGAAATGCCTTTTAAAGCTATACAAGTTTATCTTCGAAGTCATATTTTTAAAATTAATATGCAAATTGATATAACATTAACTTGAGCCCTAATGGCAGCAACAGTCTTATTAGTTTTGTCCTAATACAGGGTGACTCGCCTAACCACATTCATCAATGCACATAGAAGGTGTATGATAGACACGGCATTAATTTTTTTAATATAGGGCTACGGTGATTTGAGTTTTGTCACATTGATATGTGATACATTATTCTCTTTATTTGGCTATGTATTTATATGGTAATTGTAAGCACAAAGATAGAAGATACAATTTTATGCATTTGCCGTGATATGTAATGCCCTAGGTGTTGATGTTGCTTAAAAAAAAAAGTTAAAAACTATGCAAAACTAAAATAAAATTTAAAGGAAAATCATGTGTAGTACTTGATTTACAAGCTTATTTGTTTCAAGTATATTTTAGCTAGAAAATTCATGTAAACAAGTTCAAGGTACAGGTGCAATCTTCTTCAACAAACATAACAACCAGGAAGGAAAAGATCAAAAGTAATTCAAATTCTTGTAACTTGTACTTGTCATATTTTTGTACATCAAATAATGGTGTATTATGCAAAGCCCGGTTGCATTATAATTTCCTTTCTAACCGTCTACTATAAAATTTAGTTGTATCTTGTCTTTTACAGATTTGCAATTTACCATATTTATATACATGCTTATTAACAATGGTCGATTAACCTTGCTCCATTTGATAATAAACTGATGTCATGCTCTAAACGCAATAAGATGGAGGTTTGCTACAATTAAATGAGTTAAATAGCATTATTCATTAGGGTAAAATTATTAGATTTGTAGGGTGTTTTGATTTTGATAGTCGAATTTATTTGTTCTTCATCTATCGTAAGCATCAGATGCCGGAATTTAACAAACACCCCAAGAAAACAAATATTATTACTGAATTCAAAAGTCTGAAATTACAACAAACAGTAGAAGGGAAATATGAAATTACAACAAAAAAACAACATAACACTGAAATTAGAATTGGATCTAGAGTGTAAGTGGTTGTTTCGGGTTTAGACATCCAGCTGGTGGCAAGGAGGCGGCAAGCAAGCTGGAAAAACAGGATAGTGGTTTCCAGGAGTCCGAACAGTATGCAAATGGTAGGAACAACTGCAAGAGGGTTTGTTGACCTCACTTTTGGTTGAGGTCTAAAAATTTCTTTAGTAGCCTAGGTCTAGCCATAAAACTTTCCTACTGACTAGTCTTAGAAAACTAAAAAAGGTACCCTCACCATTAGAAACTCAAAACTCTTCTCTTTACTCAACTTGAAGTTCCACATATTGGTCCTAACCTCTAGCACTTAGTAGGTAAGATCATTATGAGGGAACTCAAGGAGAGTTCCTATAGGGCTACTTGGACTTAGGATTGACCCTAGGTGTTGGTTTGGAGCTAAGGTATACAATACTCTCACCATACCCTCACAATACCCTGGCTAAATGACCAAATCACATCAATTGGACTTATAACCATGTCAATTGGCCGAAAGAAATGTTGTATTTGCTTCATAGCAATATTTTACATCAAATTTGACCATAAATTTGCATTGGTAAAACCTTTTGATCATCTAATTTGGTTTAAATCCAAAACCTCAAATTAGCCCCAATATTGGCTAACACCCTAAATCTCAACAATTGAATACCCTAAAACTCAAATTGGCATCCAATTTTTGTTGAAAATCCTTTGTGAGGTCATTTGTGACCAAACACAATAATCAATTTGAGCTTAGTCCTAAGCTAGCTCAAGTTTGACCTAAATTAGCCCCATATGCCTAATTTGGGTCTAAATCCAAATTTCATCAAAATCCACCAAATTAATTTCAAAATGACTTTCATCCTTCATGAAAGTTGTTCATCATGATGTTTTACACCAAA